ACATGGTGAGTATAGTTGGTAACACTGTATTGTATAATCGAAATTTGCTAAGAGAGTAGAACTTAAATGGTTTCACCCAATAAATAAGTAGGTAAATAAATAATATGTGAGTTGATGGGTGTGATAATTAACTACTTGGGGGAATTCTTTCACAACGTATATGCATATCAAATCATTGCAATGTACACTTTATCTTACAATTTTATTTGTCAATTATACCTCAATAAAGCTGGAAAAAAAAAACCCTAGGCAAAAACTTAACAAGATCTCCCCAAAAGCTATGTGAGAAAAACCATAAACCATTCCTGAACAATGAGAAAGATATATCACGTTCTTTGATAGAAGATTCGACATCATAAAGATGTTAAATCTCTCTAGGTTAATTTCTAACTTTGAAATGATTCCAATAAAAATGTCATCAGGTCTTTTTTGCAGGTAGAAAATTGATTATAAAATTTGTTTGGAAAAACAAAAACACGACACCAGCCAGGAAAATCCTGAAATGGAAAAAGAAGAAAGAGGAGGAGAAAAAAAAAAGGGAGGCTAGCCGCACTAGGTGTTAAAACATAAAGCTTCTATAATTTTACTGTTTTATATTGGCACGTGATTAGTCAAACCAGTAGAACAGAATAGGGCAATAGATCTAACTGAAAAGGGAAATATAGTATGTATAAATATAAAGGTAGCATCTCAAATACATTGGGAAGAGATAGACATTTTAAGAAGTAGAGTTGGAGGGCCAGCCCCATGGCCAAGTGGTTAAGTTCACATGCTCCACTTCGGCAGCCCAGGGTATCACCGGTTTGGATCCTGGGTGCAGACCTAGCACTGCTCATCAAGCCATACTGAGGTGGCGTCCCACAGAGCACAACCAGAAGGACCACAACTACAATATACAACTATGTACTGGGGGGTGGGGGGGACTTTGGGGAGAAGAAGAAGAAGAAGAAGAGGAAGAGGAAGAGGAAGAAGAAGAAGAAGAAGAAGAAGAAGAAGAAGAAGAAGAAGAAGAAGAAGAGGAAGAAGAAGAAAAGATTGGCAACAGATGTTAGTTCAGGTGTCAATATTTAGGAAAAAAAAAAAAGTAGAGTTGGGATAACTGAATAGCTATATGAAAAAAGATAAGATTGGATTTAGTCCTTTCACCATACACTAGAAAATATTCCAAATGGATCAGAAATAATATAAAAATGAAACCATAAAAGCCCTGAGGGAAAACACTGGTAAATTCCTCTGTAGACTAGAAGTGAGGAAAACTTTGACTCAAAAATCCAGAAGTGGTTGTGCATACTACCTAAAGCAATCTACAGATTCAACACTATCCCAATCAGAATCCCAATGACATTCTTTACAGAAATTGAACAAAGAATCCTAAAATTCATATGGGGCAACAAAAGACCCCGAGTTGCTAAAGCAATCCTGAGAAAGAGGAACACAGTTGGAGGCATCACAATCCCTGACTTCAAAACATACTACAAAGCTACAGTAATCAAAACAGCATGGTACTGATACAAAAACAGGTGCACAGATCAGTGGAACAGAATTGAAAGCCCAGAAATAAAACCACACATCTATGGACAGCTAATCTTTGACAAAGGAGCTGAGGGCATACAATGGAGAAAAGAAAGTCTTTTCAACAAATGGTGCTGGGAAAACTGCAAAGCCACATGTAAAAGAATGAAAATTGACCATTCTTTTTCACCATTCACTAAAATAAACTCTAAATGGATCAAAGACCTAAATGTAAGATCTGAAACCATAAGGCTTCTAGAGGAAAATGTAGGCAGTACACTCTTTGACATCAGTATTAAAAAGATCTTTCAGACACCATGTCTTCTCAGACAAGGGAAACAATAGAAAGAATAAACAAATGGGACCTCATCAAAAAAGAGCTTCTTCAAGGCAAGGGAAAACAGGATTGAAACAAAAAAACAGCCCACTAATTGGGAAAAAATATTTACAAGCTATTTATCCGACAAAGGGTTAATCTCCATAATATATAAAGAACTCACACAGCTCAACAACAAAAAATCAAACAACCTGATCAAAAAATGGGCAGGGGACATGAACAGACATTTCTCCAAAGAAGACACAAGGATGGCCAATAGACACATGAAAAGATGTTCATCACCACTAATCATCAGGGAAATGCAAATCAAAACTGCACTAAGATATCACCTTACATCTGTTAGAATGGCAAAAATATTCAAAACCAAGAGTGGCAAATGTTGGAGAGGTTGTGGAGAAAAAGGAACCCTCATACACTGTTGGTGGGAATGCAAACTGGTGCAGCCACTATGGAAAACAGTATGGAGATTTCTCAAAAAGTTAAAAATAGAAATACCTTATGATCCAGCCATCCCATTACTGGGTATCTATCCTAAGAACCTGAAATCAGCAATCCCAAGAGTCCCATGCACCCCTATGTTCATCGCAGCATTATTTACAATAGCCAAGATGTGGAACCAACCTAAGTACCCAACAAGTGATGATTGGATAAAGAAGATATAGTATATATATACAATGGAATACTACTCAGCCATAAAAAAAGGACAAAATCGTCCCATTCACAACAACATGGATGGACCTTGAGGGTATTATGTTAAGTGAAATAAGCCAGACAGAGAAAGATGGACTCTGTATGACTCCACTCATAGGTGGAAGTTAACATATAGACAAAGAGAACTGATCGGTGGGCACCAGGGGAAAGGGAGGGGTGGGGGGAGGGCACAAAGGGTGAAGTGGTGTACCTACAACATGACTAACAATAATGTACAACTGAAATTTCACAAGGTTGTAAACTATCATAATCTTAATAAAAAATAAATAAATAATTAATTAAAAAAAAAATCCAGAAGTGGGGCTGGCCCTGTGGCTGAGTAGTTAAGTTCGCATGCTCTGCTTTGGCGGCCCAGGGTTTCACTGGTTTGAATCCTGGGCGCGGACCTAGCACTGCTTGTCAGGCCATGCTGAGGCAGCGTACCATGTACCACAACTAGAAGGATGCACAACTAAAACATATACAACTATGTACCTGGGGGGCTTTGGGGAGAAGAAGGAAAAATTAAATCTTAAAAAAAAAAATCCAGAAGTAATAAAACACTGGCAAATTTGACTACATAAAAATCTTTAAAAAGAAAATTTTGTATCACATAAAAGTCTTATAGAAAATGGTCAATACATATGAGCCAACAGTTCACAACCTCATTCACATTAAAAGAGATGCAAATTGAAATCATAGTGAGACTATTTTCCTTGCTATAAAATTGGTAAAAATCCAAGTATGATGATGTACTCTGTTTCTGAGGCTGTGAGGAAAGAGGCACTTTCATGCACTTCCAATGGGAAGGCCAAATGGTACTCCTCTATGGAGGAGAATTTGGCAGTATGTATGAAATTTACAAAGGTATTTACTATTAATTCAGCAATCCTACTTCTAGGGATCTATCCTAATAATAGTTTGGCAGAAATACAAAATTATATATACACATTGTTCTTCAATGCAACACCATCTATAATAGCAAGACCAGAAACAACCCAATGTCTATGAGTTGGGGAATAGTTGAACAACTATTGTGTACTTTTACACAATGGAGTTCTACGGAGCTGTTAAAAAGAATAAGGAAGGGGCCGAGCCCGTGGCCACCTGGTTAAGCTCGCATGTCCTGCTTCGGCGGCCCAGGATTTCGCCAGTTCAAATCCTGGGTGTAGACATGGCACTGCTCATTAGCCATGCTGAGGTGGCGTCCCACATTACACAACCAGAGGCACTCACAACTAGAATCTACAACTATGCACTGTGGGGCTTGGGGAGAAGAATAAAAAAAAAAAGGAATAAGCAAGATCTCTTTTATATACTCTGGGAGTGACCACCAGGATACATAGGTAAGTAAAAAAAAAAAAAAAAAAGATGAAGAACCATGTGTGTGGTGTGTAATATTTCTTTCAAGAAAAGGCAGGGGAATACGAATATAAATAAATACACACACACACAAATGTGCTTATATTTCTTTAAAAAAGGAAGGAAAGAAAGGAGAGAGAGAGAAAGAGAAGAAAGATAAACCAAAAAACAATAAAAATGGTTACCTCCATTTTTGATTAAAATGGTTACCTCCTACCTCCAGGGGGAGGGTGGGAATAGGGTGGAGAGCCTAGGAATGGAAGCTAGACTTCTAATGTAGCAGTTTTCACAGTTTCAACTCTATAATTATGTAAATATTATTTACATAAAATCACATAATTACAAAAAATTAAGTCAAAATGGGAAAAAAAGAATCAATCCTTACAAAGAAGCAAAATGAAACAAACGAATTGGTGATTGCGCTCCACAGAGAGGGTTTTATTTCCTGTGCCTCGAAATATGACCCCACATCCCTAGTGGAGTGTATGCTAAGAACAAAAGGAGCAGCAAAGGAATCTATATATCAGTAATCACAGAATCTGTGTTTTCAGCAATCATAGTTAGTAAATATATATATATATATAATATGTATTATATTATGTCACAATAAGGTAAATAAATAATTATACTGTCACTGGGAATCAAAATTTTCAGTGTACGAGAAAAGAGATACAAATATAAAATCAACAAAGTTAAGCAAAAACCCTATAATCCTAGGCTTGAAATAAATTGAAAATCATTATTAACTCTTGATGTATTTTTCTCTTTAAAAATGTGTTTCATACCTCTGTCCACTAAAAAGGCCGGGAAATAATGACCAACCCTAGTGCCCAGCTTTCAGTCTTGAAATACCATTCCCCACTAAAACGAACCAGGTCTGGGGCAGGAAACTCGAAAGATGAGTCTGGGACATTTTGTTGTACCAGAGAAGAAGGAAGTTATCAAAGACTACTAGAGCCAAAGACTGGAGAGTTAATTTAAAGGAGGTTTCTCTGTTAAATTTTATATTTTAAAAAACCCTCATTAATTATTTTGGAGGATAGGCAACCAACTCATTATTCTGAAACCTGGTAGAGAAAGAACCAATAATTTATCTTACCTTTCTAGAACAAACAGTACTTCAGAGTAACCATATAGATGTGAGAAAATTCTTCTTTATAGAAGTATTCCAGCTAATAAACAAAGGAATGGTAGAATTAGATTATCACCATTTTGGAGCCCTAATGAAAAAAATGGATCTAGGCAATGATCATCAATGGCTGCTAGAACCGTGAGGTGAAAGGCTGATAGGGAACTTTATACTAACGGCTAGATCAAGCTGGTCACACCTAAAATTCTTGATTAATCTTTTTTTTAAAAAAAGATTTTATTTTTTCCTTTTTCTCCCCAAAGCCCCCCGGTACATGGTTGTACATTCTTCATTGTGGGTCCTTCTAGTTGTGGCATGTGGGACGCTGCCTCAGCGTGGTTTGATGAGCAGTGCCGTGTCTGTGCCCAGGATTCGAACCAATGAAACACTGGGCCACCTGCAGCAGAGCGCGCGGACTTAACCACTCAGCCACGGGGCCAGCCCCAAGAAACTGTTATTTTAAATATGATAATGGTATTGTGGTTGAGATAAAATGGAGTCCTTATCTTTTATACATACATAAGTTTTAAACGGATAAAATTATTTAATATTTGTGCTTTGCTTTAAAACAATGGAAATGGGCTGGGGGAACTGGAGAGGGGTGCAGACTGGCCCTAGGTTGATAATCGTTGAAGGCAAGGGACCAGTACATTGGAGTTCATTCATCCATGAATTCTACTTTTAAATGTTTGAAATTTTCCACAAATTTTCCAAATGAGTAAAAGGGCACATGTGTATGGTAACAGATGGTAATTCATGTCTTTGGGTGGTGAACATGAGATTGTCTACACAGAAATCAAAATATAATGATGTACACCTGAAATTTATATCATGTTATAAATCAATGTTACCTTAACAAAAAATAAACAGAAACACACATAAAAAATAAAATTGAAATATTTATGATTTGTTTTCAATTATTACATTTCAAGTCCCTAGACTCACCAGACTTCTTAGATATTTCAATAAAAGAGGTGAACTGAAGTACATACAGGATTCCTGATTCTCACGTTTACTTATTTCTTTGATAACTCCGAGTTTTCTTCTTCCGTCCACACTAACAGAAATTCCTCCTTCTAGAATCTAGATTTAGAATCTAGACAATTTTATACACATTACTATAATGCCATTATTACTACATCTAGATGACAAATCCTCTATCACCTTTCATTTCTATTTATGCTGATAAAAAAGAATAATTTATATAGTATGTGGCTTGGGGTTTAGAATAACCAGTCCTTGGGTTCCAGACCTAACTGATTCTTTTTCAGAAACCTTTTAGGTTTCAAATGCGGTTGAAGAAATTTCATGGTTACACTTGACCATGTCTAAGGACCACATGGGGCTCCTTGTGCTCGGCCTCAGGTTTATCTGTCCTCTGTGCATTTACCTGTCTTCACGCTAACTGTATAGGCTTTTAAATTCCCAGAGGGCAGAAACCCCATCTGCCTAAACTTCTCTTTGCAGATACTAGTACAACACTAGTAATGAGGTAGTCATTCTTAGGTAGGACACTAGTCATTAGAAGGCAAATAAAAACTGAAATGCACATATTAAAAACTTTCAAGGGCAGGGTTCCCTCCCCCTCTCACCCCTCAATCCTATTAAAGCATAAAAGGAGAAGAAAGGTTTGAGTGCATGCAAGGAATGCGACTATTTCCACAGGAAGGGCCCTGGCAAGGCAGAGGTGAAGAGGGTGCCCTAAGGGGCAGAGAGCCTCCCCATCTGACTCGGCCTTCAACTCTGAGAATCCTGCGGCCACAGTGTGAGGCCCTCCAAGTGCCCCTCTGGCTCCTCCACTCGGTTGCAGACAAAACAGTTCTCTCCCTCAGATTTTGCCACCTCTCTGGCCTTGGCGAGGCCAGTATCAACCTCATACAGCTGTTTTCTCTCATTCTCAGTCTCTTCAGCCAGGAGAAATGCTCTGGGTTCCTAGACTAAATTACCCCGATGTCCCTTCCAGAGGCCTCCAAGGGATTTTCCGTAGTAATAAAGACAAACCCCAGTGGGCTTTCCTGGGTTCCTGTTCACCCTGACTTCCCAGGCCGGGACTCGGGACAGGAGACCGCAGCCGCCTGTGAATCTGACGAAAAGAGCTCTCCAAGGATGAGCACAGAAGTTAAGTCTCCTTGAAGAGCCAGAGTGGTCTTCCACCACAGGTAAAGAAAGGGTGCCTGGGAACGCCAATGCAGGGCTCAAGTGGAGAAGCCAGCGTCCCGGGAAACTCCTCGAGGTCCCAGGGAACCCTGAACCTATCCGAAAGGCCCCTTTACGGTTCCCCAACCGTGCCCCCACCCTCACTCCACCCTCTTCCCAGCCCGCCCTGCCCAACCCCTCCTGCCTCCACCTCAGGACCAGCACACACCCAACCTGGAGCTACCCTGATGTGGCCTCAAGGCGACTTCGCCCGCCAAGCCCGCCTAAGCATGCGCGGCCCCGCCCCCCAGAACCCACTCTGACCAATGGGATTACGCCCTGCCCCCTGGGTCCGGCCCCGCGGCGGCTCCAGAGTAACGGTTTTAACCGTCCTAAGGGTTATAACTGTCATATAGTTGACTAGGCCTGGCAGCGTTCCTCGCGCCACACACCACCGCACGCCATACTCAGCCCACAGGCACCTCAGGAAATGTACCCTCACACCTCCACACTCACTCTCTGCTGCCCACCACACCCGACCCGGCATCCCCTTGCCAATGTGGAAGAGCTCAGGAGTCACCTGACACACCCAGCTGCGTGTGGAGTGGACTGGGTGGCCAGGGACTAGGACATGGCTGGGGCCTGGTGGCTCTTAATGAGAACTGAGTAGCGGGAGCAGCTGGGGCTAGAGGCACTGTGGTCAGAGGAGACGAGAAAGAAGGCAAAAAATCGAACAAGTTTCCTGACCTGCTAGATGCTGGGGCATCCTGAGGTCAAGGTGGGCAGGGGCGAAGGGTGTAGGACAGGAGAGGTTCATTTAACTCTGCCTCTGGTGGTTATAGATGACTTTTAAAGCCATGAAACAGGATAGGATCACCAATGAAGGAGTGATGGAAAACAGATCATATTGAGCCCCAGGACACAAAGTTTAGAGGCCTAGGTGAGGAAAAAGCAGCAAAGGAGCCAGAACAGTGTGGTCAGGGACCAGGAAGGGACAACACCGTCAGAGTAAGGGTGTGTGGAAGCCACCTGGACCATCCTTCAAACAGGAGGAGAAGATCAACTGTGTCAAATGCTGCTGATAGGTCAAGGAAAATGAGTGAGAATTAGTTACTGGTGACTTTGACAAGGGCAATTTTAGTGGTGTAGTAGAGACAAAAAACCTAATTTGTATATGGATTCAAAAGACACGTCTAATAAAGGACTGGTATCCAAAATGTCCTATGTGAAAGTACTTCTAACAGAAAAAGAAGGTAAAAATAGGCAAAGAGGGGCCAGCCCAGGGGCGCAGAGATTAAGTTCGCACGTTCCGCTTCTCGGCCGCCCGGGGTTTGGTGTTTCGGATCCCGAGTGCGGACATGGCAACGCTTGGCAAAAGCCTTGCTGTGGTAGGCGTCCCACGTATAAAGTAGAGGAGGATGGGCACGGATGTTAGCTCAGGGTCAGTCTTCCTCAGCAAAAAGAGGAGGATTGGCAGCAGATGTTAGCTCAGGGCTAATCTTCCTAAAAATATATATATACATAAAAAAATAAATTTAAAAAAAGGACCAAGAGGAGAGATTTGGCATATCCATACAATGGGAAACTGTTAGCAATAAGAAGGATGAGTGATTGATAAGCACAATGACATGGATAATTCTCAAAATAATTATGCTGAGTGAAAGAAGCCAGATAAAAAAGAATACATTCTGAATGATTCCATTTATATAAAATTCTAGAAAATGGAAATTAATTTATGGTGACAGAAAGCCAACCAGCAGTTGCCTGAGACTAATGAGTACCATAGAGACAGATTACCAACAGGCAGAAGAAAACTTGAGGGTGATGGATATGTTTACTATCTTGATTGTGGTTATGTTTCATAGACGTGTCAAATTGTACACTTTTTTAATGTTTTTTTTTCTGCTTTTTCTCCCACAATCCCCCCAGTACATAGTTGTATGTTTTAGTTGTGGGTCCTTCTAGTTGTGGTATGTGGGATACCACCTCAACATGGCCTAATGAGCAGTACCATGTCCACGCCCAGGATCCAAACCACAGAAACCCTGGGCCACCGAATCGGAGCATGTGAACTTAACTACTCAGCCACGGAGCCAGCCCCTCAAATTGTGCACTTTTAATATGCACATTTTACTGTGTTAATTATACCTAAACAAAGATTTGAAAAATAAAAACATTACAGATAGCTGAAGCTCCACTCTGTCCTCTCTGATGCCATTCCCTAGGTGACTTCTATCCTGAATTTGATGGTTATCATTTCTATGCATGTTTTACACTTTTAGTTCAAATATTTGTATCCACAAACAATATATAACATTGTTTGCATGTTTAAATTATTTCATAAATTGTGTTCTCTGTGCATCCTTCTACAATTGACTTTTTGACTCACCATTTTTAAGATTTATCTCTGTGGATTCAAGTATCTGTAGCCCATTAATAGCAACTCCAGTATTTCATTGTGTGACTATAGGCCAATTTCCTCATTGTCCTGTTGGTAAACATTCAAGCTGCTTACAGTTTTTCCCCTATACAGATGCTGCAAAGAACTTCTTTGTATCTCTGAATACATGTGAGAGGGGATCTTCAGAGTAACTATACTAGGATGGACTTTCTGGCTATCAGAGTTTGTGCCAGTGACACCAGCGAGGTCTTAGTGTTTCCTGTCATTGAACTTTTAATTGGCACATTTTTAGAGGTTGGTTGCCAGCTTCTCTTCGTTAGTAAAAGGGGTGAACTGTTCACATCCCTGTGTTACAAATGAAAGATAGAATAATCTGCCCAAGGGTAGCTTGGAATGGAACATGATGTCAAATATTTTCACGCTCCTTCTTTTGCTCTTCTGTTATGCTCTCCTGCTTCACTGATGCCTTTGTAACATTCACCTGCTGTGACTAGTGTTCCTGGTCACCACAAACTCCTATGAGAGAAGTCAACAGAGCTTTATCCAGAAGCAGCAATTCTATCCTAAGAGCCACCAACCCCTTTAACATTTCTTTTGACTCCATGGAATGTTTTCTAAATTTATTATCCCAAGCAGTATCGTTGCACAGTTTTAAAAATGCAGGATTTGTCTCTAAAATGTTCTTTAGTATTTCATTGACGATATGTTCATCATACTCCACTGTGGAGCTTTATATGTTTCTATATATAAGGACTCTCCCAGGATGTTATTGCTGGGGGGCATATTTCTCTCATAAAGGAGTAAAAGCAGAGCAGGAAGCACAAAAGGGTAGCAGGCTTGGCACTGCCTCAACAATGAGTAGCATTGTGCAGTCACAACTTCCCTTTGTCACTAAGCAACAGGCAGTTGACCTCTTGAGATTCTTTTTGCTCAGACATAGCCTCAAAAAGACAAGAGGAAAGTTGCCTTTTTCTGCCCTCTTCCTGGAAAGATGCAAAGTGCTTTAGTAGGCTCCTGGGTAAGAGTGCACTCTACAGTTAATTCTGGCCCCTGGCCCTGGGGTAGTACCTGAATTTGAATGAATCATGAGAGTAAACCAAGAAGGGTTTCATCCAGCATCCAGGCTGGTGGAAGATCTCGAAGTACCCACTCCCCCTCTGCCATCCTGAGGTCACCCCTGGAGCCTATCTAGTCTTCCTGATATAATGTCCCCTTCCGTGTGTCCTGATCTCATGCTAACCAGCTGAACTTTCTAGTCCTCTAGCCACCCTAGTTATTCCCAATCCTTTGCTTGGTTTCCCCCAAACTTCTAGAGTTTGACTGCTCTCTAGACTGGGAATATCTTGAGGGCAAAGACGGTTTTCTTCCATCTATGTATCCCACACCCAGCCCAATGCCTGGAATATAGTAAAGGCCCAGTAAATACTATTGAACTAAACTGAATAGAGAGCAAGGGGTGTTCAACAGATAGTAGAAGGATGGACAGACAAGTTGGGTGACTCAAGCCCCCAGCAGGATGAAAAGATAGGGGGTTTCCCAGTCATGTTTAGGAACCCACTGTGATGGCCAGAGACCATCTTGGGACAGGTTCCTTCCACTCAGGGCTATGATCATGGAGGATCAGGCACACCTGTCCTCTCCAGGGAGCACTCAAGACAAAGAGCTTTTGGGCCATAGGCATTCCCTAGCTAGACATGGTTGTCCACAGGGTGTCAACCTAATGATATCAGGATAATACAGCTCCTTCTTAGACCCCTCATAGGTGCTCATTTCTGTCTTTTGCCAGTCCCCGTCCCTGAAATTCTCTCCAGAAGATATCCACTCTTGGTGAAGTACTACTTTTGGAAAGTCCATCCCTTGCTTAGGTGCTCCAGTTTCCGAGGGTTCCCTTCTTTCCCCAGAATAGCAGAGGGTGTGGCAAACAGGTGTTCACAACCTTGTCACAAAAGATGGATCCATTCAATCCTTGCTCATCAGGGATTTTTGACGTACTATTAATATTGGGGGGAGGACAGCAAAGTAGGCTTCCGCTCAGACTCCCCAGGGAAGGACCACACCACTGGACAGTGGCCCTGTTCTCATAACTCTGCTTAATGTTCTGAATCACCCCAACTCACAACTGCCTGGTCCCCTCCCCTGCTGAAAAGTCTTCCCTTGCTCTTAGAAGAGAATCCATATTCCTAAACTAGTCTAAGCCTGTCCCTCACCTCACTTCTTTCTACCTTGCTCACAATCCTTTAGTCATAAGGCCTCTTTTTGTTCTTCCAACACATCTCTCTCTTTCTGTCCTCTTAACCTATGACCTTGCAGTTCCCACCACATAGAATGCTCTTCCTTTGCTCATCACATGGCTGATTCTTTCTCATGTTCAAGTCCCACCCACATTGTCATGAAGGACTATCCCTGTTCCCTATCACTCTTGATCCAGTCATCAGGTTATTTCTTCCCTAATGCTATTTGCTATGTCTGACTCCCCCACCATAAGGAAGGTTCATAGGGGCCAGGACCTTTCTATCTTTTCATTGCTATCTCCCTAGCCCACATTAAGACCTTATTAAAGAAAGAGAGAAAGAAAGGAAGGCAGGCATGAAAGGAGGCAGCTCTTCCCTACACACACATAGCTCTCCCAGGTGAGCCAGCACAGCTGAGGCCAACTGTTCTAATGATGGATGGGAAACACCTCTCTACTGCTGGTCCCTCTCCCAGGGTGTCCTTCCTCCTCATATTCTTTCTATTCTGTCAGGAACTCCAAGAGGCTTCTGGCCTAGGGACGCTGAGGTCTGGGACTCAGGGTGGGGGTTAAGGTGGGATTCACCCTCATGCCTGCCTTGTTATAGCACAACAATGGCTTCTACGGGCACTACAGAGGCCAATTCAAGAGTGAAAGTGCTCGAGAATACCGCCTTGCAGCCAAGCCCCAGCCTCCAGCAGTGTTCCTGCAACGATGCCAGGTACAAGGCAGCCCTGGGGGCAGCTGGGGTGGCTGGGCTAGTTTCTGCTTCTCTCAGGCCCCAAGAGCATCATCTCCAGCCCTGCCACAGCTGGACTGACACCGGGGACCAGCCTATCTCCAGGACATGTGTGAGGCCTGACCCCTCTTTACTGAAATGTCAGGTCTTCCCCCTACAGGCAGGGTGGAGAAGAGCCGGTACCAGGCTGGACAGTCTTGCTCAATGCTCCTTCTATATAGAGGAAGGGTCAGGGCCCAGATAGGGTGGGTGATCATTGGGAGAGAGCCTCCATAACCCAGAAAGTAAGCCTTGAGTTTTGTTGACAACTGCCCTCAAGCTCAGATTCCTTGATGCCATGAAGGCCCGTAGTCTAGCCCACAGTCAGCCTCATATTCCAGGGGCTCAAGAGTGAGTAGGAGGCCTCCTGTGGTCAGGGAAGCTGCATAGAAAGTGACTGGGTAACCACCTGCCCATCTGGCCGAGGAGGACTGGAAAGGAGATGGCAGAAATGGACTAGAACGGCTGGAAAAGGCTTCCAGAAAACAGGAGGAATGCAGAGTTCACAAGTCTCCCACCTCGGCTATGTGTGGAGACAAGGAGTGGGCACTGAGCATCAGTCAGGCCCCAAAAGTAAAAAGCCCACTTAAAGCAGGAGAACTCAAGAGGGTGTACATTCAAAGGAGTAGGTGTGGGGAGTCTCAGGGAAAGGCAGTCTCGTAGGTTGGTAACAACCAAGTGGTCAGTACTGCTGGGCCCAAAGGTTCAAGGGGAAGGCATGGCTCCTAGAACCTAGAAAGAAAAGTGGTATGGAGGGGGACACCCTGAGAGGAGTGGTGATCTTGGGTGGAGAGACACAGCCAGGTTGGGGCTGGCCTTGGAGGGAAATAGGAGAAGAAACACCTCCTCTCATCTTCCCTCCATCCCTCCCAGAATTTCCCAGTGGCCAGAGTGAAGGCAGCCTGGTGAGAAAAGCACTCAGATCAGCTTCTTGGGCAAGCGCAGGGTGGAGGAGCTGGACCAGTTTGTTTCACCACTTACCTATTAAAAGATACCTGGGCTGATTCCAGTTTCTGGCTCTTACAAAAAAAAGCTGCTATGAAATTTTGTGTACAGATTTTGGGTGAAAATAAGCTTATTCTTTGGGATAAATGCCCAGGAGTGCAATTACTAGGTCATATGGTAGTAGCATGTTTAGTTTCTTTTTTTTTTTAAGATTTTTATTTTTTCCTTTTTTGTCCCCAAAGCCCTCCAGTACATAGTTGTATATTCTTAGTTGTGGGTCCTTCTAGTTGTGGCATATGGGAAGCCGCCTCAGCATGGCTTGATGAGCAGTGCCATGTCCACGCCCAGGATTCGAACTGGCAAAACCCTGGGCCACTGCAGCAGCAGAGCACGAGAACTTAACCACTTGGCCATGGGGCTGGCCCCAGCATATTTAGTTTTTAAAAGAAACTGCCAAACTGTTTTCCAGAATAGCTGTACCTTTTTACATTCCCACCAGCACTGTATGAATAATCCAGTTTGTCTGCATTTTCACCAACATTTGGTGGTGTCTGTATTTTTTTATTTTAGCCATTCTGATTGATGTGTCATGATATCTCATTGTGGTTTTAATTTGCATTTCCCTAATGTTTAATGATGGTGAACATCTTTTCATGTGTTATTTGCCATCTGTACATCATCCTCCGTGAAGTGTCTTCACGTTGTTTGCCCATTTTCTAATTGGAGTGTTTGTTATTTTACTGTTGAGTTGTGTGAGTTCTTTACGCCTCTAGATACTAGTCCTTTTATCAGATATGTGGTTTGCAAATATTTTCTCCCAGTCTGTATCCTGTCTTTTCATACTCTTCACGTGGACTTTCACAGAGAAAAACTTTTTTTAAAACTTTGATGAGGTCCAATTTATCAACTTTTTCTTTTATGGCTCTAGCTTTTCATGTCAAGTCTAAGAACTCTGCCTAGCTTTAGATTCTGAAGATTTTCTCCTACATTTTTTTCTAAAACTGCCCTGAGTTTTTAATCCTTGTCACGTCAGCTTGCTTTATGAGAAATGAACATTAAGGCTGGCTGGCTTCCCACCTTCATGGAGCTTTCATTCTTTTTGGAGACCACCACTGGGTGTCTAAGGCAGGAGGTCCCAATAGGGAAGCTTGTTAAAGACAGACACCACAGGCTCCACCCTGAAGATTCTAGTTCAGGAATCTGGGATGGAGCTAGCCCTGCCTTTTATCTAGTAACCTGCTGTCAGCCATTGCTCATACCCCAACCCAGCCAAGACTGAACTTCATTCATGTCTGCAGCAGGAGAAGCTGAGTGACTAGGGAGGGGGCCTCTGGGGATGGAGACCAGGGACAAAGGCAAAGTGGATGGTCTTGGGAGAGATTCCTGCTGAAGTCTGAGGGCCTGAGATGTGGTCTTTCTCTGCCTGGGGATGGGGCATGGTTCTCTGGCCCCAAGTGGGCCAAAGCAAATGCCCTGGAGACCTTCTGTCTCTGTTCATTGATTTCACAACAAACATGTATTGAGCACAATGCCAGGCACTGTTCTCAGTGTTGGAGTTACAGATGTGAGCAAGATAGACAATAACCTTTGCCCACAAGGAGCTTACATTCTAGTGAGGGGCATCAGACAATAAGCAAAAGCATAATATATAGTCATATAGTATGTTAAAAGGTGAAAAATGCAGAGTTGGGGTGGTGGGACTGCTGGTGTGGTGCTCAAGGAAGGCCTCCCAAGATGTAGATGAGAGGGAGTCATATGGCAAGCTGAGAGAAGAGTTCTAGGCAGAAGGAACAGGTGGTGCAAAGGCCTAAGGTGGGAATAGCTGGTATGTTTGAGGAGCAGTGAAGATGCCATTGTGGCTGTAGGTAATGGAGAGATCAATATTGTATGGGTTTCACGGACCACTATGACGACTTTGGCTTTTACAAACATGAGGACCTGTTGTGGATTTTTGGCAAACAAGGGATATGATCTGATTTATGTATTAAAATAATTATCCTGCCTGCTAAGAGGACAATAGGCTAGAGGGACAAGCTTGGAAGCAGGGACACCAGGTGGGAAGCCCATCAATAATTCAGGCAAGAGAAGAAGGTGGCCACGCTGAGGAATGGTCTGATCCTGGGTATGTATTGAAGTATCAACAGGATTTCCTGGCACATTGGATGTAGGGTGTGAAAGAAAAGAATCAAGGGAACTCTGAGGTTTTTGGCAGGATCTAGCTGTCATGACCTGAGCTGGGGGAGGCTGTGGGTGGAGTGGGTTTGGGGAATGATCCAGAACTCAGTCATGAATTTGAAGATGCCTGTTAGACATTTACATGGGGATATGGAGTAGGCAGCTGGAGTTCAGGAGAAAGCTCAAGCAAGAGAGAGAAATTTCAGTTTCTAGGTGGCATTTAGAGCCAAGAGCCTGGGTTGCTGATGAGGGAGTAAGTGTGGACAGAGAGGAGGAGAGACGTGAAGCCTTGTCCTGGGTGATCTAGAGTTAAAAGGCCCCATGTGAAACTTGAACCACTGCCCCCCTGGTGACAGAATGTCCTGGAAGATGCCTCAGTCCCTTTCTCAAACAGTAGCCCCAGAGGCTTCTGCTTTCGGGGCAAGTACTAGGATGAGATGTTCCAGGAGTGAGATGTTGCTTTAATTCATATGTGCCCTTTCAGTGCGTTGGCAGTTTAGTAGTTTAGGGCTGGTGGCTCCTGGGAGCTTCCCTCCATTACGGGCCCTGAGGTAATATCTTGGGGTCAGGTAAGCATCATTTTTCCCCATTCACCTTCTTTCTCACTGTCTTTCAAGGAGCCAGTACAGCAACACTTCTTCTCCAAACATGACAACCGCACTTCCTACGACAAAGTGAGTGCTGGAGAGAGGAAGGAAAGTGGGCAGGCCCCCAGCCTAGGTTGAAGTTGAGCTAGGGTGGAGGGGATAAGACATTGCAGGGAGGGGGGGCTCCTGGCACAGACAGGGGAGTGTCTGTCTTCCTGACAACCTCTCTCCTCTGGGAAACAGCCCATTCCCCAGTAGGGGTACTTCTGCTTTGGTTTCTTCCACCAACTTGCCTGACAATGTGCAAATGTCTTTGAGGCCACTGACTTTCTGGGGCTTTACCTTAGAATGGAAGGCATGGCTGGGGAGGCAGGCCAAAGAGGTCAGGTTACAGGCCAGGGAGGCCAGGCACAAGCCAGGTATCACCAAGCAGGATTGGGTTTAGGAGGGGCCCAAAGAAGTGCCTGGTGCCAGAATTGCGGGCCAAGGGCCCATATTGTTGAGGAGGGCCCCTACTGCCTGCTGCAGGGAATCGGAAGACGGAAAGACCTGGAGCGTCTGTGGCAGCAGCACACCTTCCTGCGCTGGGCACCCTGTGAGCTGGAGTTGCGCCAGCAGCGGCCCCTCAAATCCTCCTACCAGGTCGATTTCCAGTCAGGCCCAGGACTCAGTGACCTTCCCCAGCGCCTTGTCCACTTTGTGCAGGTCCGGCCTCCCCGTTCCAGCACCACCTATCAGCAGAACTTCTGCCAGCCATCCCGGGGTGGCCATTGTGGCAGCGACAACGTGGAGCCCCAGGCCCCAGTCACCGACACACTGCCTGACATCCCGGGGATCCCAAGACCCAAGGTGCTGCAGCATTACCTTCATGCTGGGGTCTCTGAGTGTCTAAACTGGTCCAGAGCATTAAACAAGGACAGCTGACCCAGCAGCTTCTCTGTGCTTGCAGCCCAGGAGGTCTCAGAGGCTGGAGAACAGTAAGGCACTGTTAAGCCCTGTGCCTGGTGCCTGTGTGCTGGGCAGGGGAGTTGCTGCCCTGGGAACCATGCCAGTGAGTGAAAAGGGGTTAGGCCTGCAGGAGGCTAAGTGTCCAGGAGCGTTAGCAAGGACACAGCAGGTGGGTCCAGGATCCCAAATTCATTCTTGCAGCAAACCGAGCTGTGAGTTCCTTGCACTCAGTGTGGCTGCAAGGAAAGCAGACTCAATGGCTCCTACTAATGGGCAGCAAAGATGGAGGAAGAGGAAAGAGCTGGTAGCTTTGCTTTCTCTGGTGGGCTATTGCCTCTAGGGGTCTGGTGGGTGGCCATCCAGTCCTGCCTAAGAGACAGCTTCCCCACAGCTGGGACAGAGGAAGACTGTCCTGGCCACAGCCCCACTGGACTACCCCTCTCTACGGAGGTGAGCACAGGCTTGGAGGAGATGCTGTGTGGCATATACCTGGAGGTCATCCTGACCCTGTTGTGTTTTGTTGTAGTTTTCTGAGCTCTTCTCTGGTATTCTGTGAGTTCCCTCTAACATCCAGGACAGTGGGGACCAGTGGTCATCCTATGTCACCAAAAGAGAAGCTGAGGCTTAGGTGGGGCTTAGATACCAGAACACTTGGAGGGCAGAGGTCAGATCCAAAAGGCTCCTCTGGATTGTCATCCTTGGGAGAGTTGAGGCCTCTGAAGGAGGGTCAGGCACTTCAGGGACAACACAAGAGTCCACACCAGGGGCCATAGACTAGATTTTAGCAGCACTTTTACTTCCACTTCTGAACTCCCTGGGTCCTCACAACAGCCCTGTGAGGTAGGTAGGGCAGGAAGTTTTCAGAGATCCCCATTTACAGATGAGGACGCTGAGGCACAGAGAGGTGAAATGACTTGCCCAAGGTCACACAGCCAGCAGCGTAAAGGGCCCAAGGCCTACATTCCTCTGGCCCTCTGGAGGGTCCTGCATCCACTCCTCCATTCCCTCTCTGTCCCCTACCCTCTCTGAACCCTCCTGGGTCCACGGGGACCTCAAGGCAGGCTAGAAGTTAGGTTTTTTCAGGAACAGACATTGGGGTGGGCCTGGTCAACTCCAGGTAGGCACCGACCCTGTGGGGCATGAGGCTAGCTCTCCCTCCTCCTACTTCCCAGTTGGCCAGAGGACCCAGTAAGTTCCAGAGCAAGAGGGGAGCTGGGCATGGTCCATGAATGAATGTGGGTAGAGGTGGGTGTAAGTGTATGTGTGTCCTGCGCTAAAGACGAAGGCCCCCCCAAGTCGCCAAGGCAGTATCTAAAGTGCCCACCCCTGTGCCTCCTTCAGCCCCCAGGGCCACAGCAAGCTTCCTCAGCAGCAAAAGGAGCCACGGACATTTGCCTCTGGCACTGAGCTGCTCCAGTAGACAAGCCGCACCAGGCATTCAGACCCCATCACGCAGACACAGTGCCTCCACAGCTTGGCTGGGACCCTGGGCCACACCCCCGATGACAAACAGCCGGTGCCCAGCTTGCAGACTAGAACAGGAGCAGCGGGCCGTGGGCATGGCAGGCAGTGCCTCCCAGCGCCGCCGTGCAAGGCTGAAGCCTTCCACAGAGCCCAGAGGGCATGGCTGGTTTCCTGCAGGAAGGAGACAGAGGTTGTAAATGGCACAGGCTGCAGGGGCTCCAGCTTTTTTGCTCCCTGAACCCAGAACAAGGCCCAGCAGGCACCACCCCAGGAGGGGCTGGCAGTGCCTTGCTACTCATCACCCCTATTCATCATTCATTCCTTTATTCATTCATATTCCTATTTTTCCATTCATCCAGTGGGCATTTGTCCTGTCCGTGTCTCATAGGCAACTGCTGGTAGAGAGCCCTCAGTCAAGTATGAGGGATACCCCAAGAGCTAGGCCACACAGACCACATCCTGCCCACTTCACAGACTGGGAAAGGAAAGCTCACAAAGCTCTGATCCCTGGAATGCCTAGAGAAGGATAGGAGGTGGTGCTCAGGCTGAGGGCTACTCCTTCCTGTCTTGGGCTCCCCTATCCCTAGCCACGCGGAGACTCACCAAGGCCCCCAATGGCCACGATGTGGTTCCCAAGGGAGCCAACCACAAAGTCGGCCCTCTTATCCCTCATGCGCAGGCTGCGGGGCATCTTGGTCCAGGACCCTGCAGGAGAGAGGAGTTCAGATCTAGCCCCCTCAACACACTGCACCCCTCCATCCCATGGAGAATGGGAGGACAGCCCAGGCCAGCCACTGCTCACCATGCTCCAGGTCGAACATCTCCACAGTGTTGACAAAGTGTGGGCGGGAGTAGAAATTGTGGGGCCCGGGCTGCTGCAGGCCACCCAGGCTAAAGACGCTGCCTTCGGCCATGGCGCAGCCTGCAAAGGCCCGGCGGCTGGGCAGGCTTGGGTGCCGGGTCCAGGTACGGGCCTCCAGATCAAAGGCCTCAAAAGCAGTCACTGGGAGCTTGCCCTGGCGGCCCCCTGCCAAGGGAATTGGGGCACCTGGGAGAGAGCCCAGGGGGTCTGGAAGTCTCCTTCTTCACGAGGTTGCTGAGCCTTCATCACTGCCCGTCCCAGCTCCCCATACCCAGCTGTATGCACACCAGAGCATGGATCACCCACCCTGCAGATCCTCAGGCTCTAGGGTTTAGTTTTCCAGTCCCAGCAGGGCCACCAGAGGTCAGAGCCTCCGAGCAAACCTGGTTTACCCAAATAAAGCTTTTCTTGTCCCACCATCCCATACTAAGCCTGATCCCAGCCAACCTGGGGTAGATGCTTCTGGACTTCAAGCCCATTTCCCATATCCCCCAGGTCCTTACCCAGGACATAGATCTTGTTCCCATGCAGGAAGGTAGATGCTCCATAGCAGGGTGTGGGCATGGAAGGTAGTGAAAGCCAGCAATCCCCACGGGGCTCATACACCCGAACCTGGGCCTGGGGGGCTGTGTCGGGGCCCATTCCCCCCAGAGCATACACCATACCATCTGCATAAAAAAGAGTAATTCAGACTGTACCCCAGCCTCTCCAGGGCACCTCACTCTGACAGCTGCCCTGGTCAGGCCTGGGGGTGGCTGTGGACCATGTGTTTGTGGTATCCCTCCCCAGCAGCAAAGTGGAAATCTGCCTGCCTGGAGTCGGGGCTGGGAGATCTAGGATTCCCACTCTGGCCAGGGCCCCTCCAAATGAAGAGCAGGAGGCAGCCGATCTAATTATAATCTGTCTCCGTTTCCTTGGAGATGCTATGGCAACCAAGTCTGGCATCCAAGCAGGACTAGTGGTCAGACCTGGAGGCCACAAGGTGGGGGATCCCATGGGGGAAGGAGGGTGGAGGATGGTTTAAGCTGGGGGAGGGGGGGCGGCATTTGGGGATCTGCTCAGCATGGTACTCAGACTGGGGAAGGGGCTCTGGGGATCAGTTCGGGGGCTGGGAGAGGGGCTTGGGCCTGCAGGATGAGGGTGCTGGCCACAAGCCTTCTTTCTGCCCAGGAGCCTTGCCAGTACCTCTCCACCCTGCCCTTTCACTAGAGTAGGTTCTTGCCCTGTTATGCCCTCAGGGTCACCTGGGGGCATGTCTGGGGGTCTTGGGGAGATGGGTTAGTCAGCTGGGAGCTTCCACAGCAACTGTCTCCAGGCCGGCTTGACCTTTGTCCAGCTCAGGCTCCCTGGTGTGTGTGTGTAGGGGGGGGCAATCTAAGCACTTGCTGGGCTCTGAGCCAAGGCCCTGCTCCTCTCCCTCTCCCCCAGGTTATTTATAACTCTGGGAGTCATTGGGCCATCCCTCCTTGTCTCTTAGGGAGGAGGAATGGGGCAGGGAGGTGACTGGGGCCTCCCATCACGCTGGGGGCCAGCCTGGGCTCTGCCTCCCACCTGACAGCTGGAAAAGGCAGTTAAGGCTGCTGCTAGCCCAACTCAGAGCTAGGGAGGCAAGGGTAGAGAAGGCAAAGCTAAGTCCAGGGCACCCAGGCAAAATTCATAGCTCTTACCCAATTTCTGAGGGTAAGGGACCAAGTCAGGAAGAATGGAGGGTGTTGGGGCACCTGACGGACTTTCCTTGGGAAGCCACTCACCTCTCTCCACAGTCGCAACCCCCATGGCTGCCTGAGGGAGTGTGGCCCGACGTTCCCAGCGGCCCTCATCAGCCAGGAAGGCCTCCACAGCAGCTACTGGGCTCTGGCCCTCATCCACACCGCCCATCACTAGCACCTGCTTGCCCAGCACCACAGCAGCCGCGCCAGCCCGGGGAGTGGGCAGGGGTGCCAGTGCCAGCCATGTATGTGAGGCCATGTCCAGTGTCTCAGCAGTGTCCAGGGGTAGTCCAGCCTGGCCACAGCCCCCCAGTACTAACAGGTGACCATCCTGGTATGCCACTGTGCCATACACCCGGCAGGTGGGCATGGGTGGGAACACCTGCCAAGCAAAGGCCCGGCTACCTCCTGTAGCCATGGTATTCATCTCCAGTGGCAGGCCATGCCATCTGCTCAGGCTACAGGCCTCACTGAGGGGGAAAGATGGGGCCTCATCTTGATTCTACCAGGGCTACAAGGGGACGTCTGACCAGTCCAGGGACCTTGCCTTCACCTGGAGGAGAGAGGGAAAACAAAGGGTCAGTGCCACTGGATATAGCCCCTCACGGTACAGATGAGCAGCCTGTAGCTGAGAGCAGGGCTGGCCCAAAATCACTGGTGGGAAAGGCAGGATGGAGGACCCACCCCCGGTAGCTAGCACACCACTGTGGAGGCACACCTCCTGGAGTGAGGAGGGGAGACTCCCAGACATCCAGGCAACTCTCCTAATTCCTATGGTGCATGAGGGATTCTGCTCCTAACCCTGCTCTCACCTAGGAGCTCCCTGGTCAAATCTAGGTCTAGGAGGGAGGCAAGACGCCTAGGATAGGACTCTCCATCTTGGCCCCCTTTCCTTCCCCTCAAAAATTCTCACCCTGGTGCTCTGCATCAGCAGAGTTCTACTGTACCCTCCCTGCTTCCTGGCTTCCAGTGTGCCTTGGGCAGCCATAAGGGTCTCTCAGTAGCTGCCAGGGATCAGACTCCGGGGTATCCTTACCAACCTTTTGGGGCCTGTTCCATAAAGTTCATCCATTCCCACTAGCAAAAGGCCAAGATCAGAGGAGGGGCTGGACGCCAAGGTCCCACATTCCCCCTTGAGGTCTACCCTCAGGGGTTTGTCCATGCCCCGTTCTCAGAGGCCAGCCTCCTTGATGTCCAGAGGGAGAAGGCGAATGATGTGCGGATCCTGTGAGCACAGGACTCTACGGTCCCAGAGTCTAGGGCGTTTCCAGCAGCAATGGGCAGCTGGACTTCTGGGTCCCCTCACAGCAGATCCCCAAGTTCCCCAGCCTCTCCCCTCCCAGCCCCCCGCAGGGACCACGCTCCTGGGACCGCTGGTGAGAGGGCCTCCTGGCCTCAAACTTCCACCTCGCAGGAGTAGGGGGCGGGGAGGGGGGGCGGGTCCAGGCGAGCGCGCTTGGGGCTCTACACCCCATGCCCCTAAACTTCCCTTGAGCGTGGCTCCCGCGGGACTCACCGGCCCGGGCTCCGGCGCCGCCGGGGCGCGGGGTCGGCCGTTCCGGTTCCGCTGGTGCGGGCTCTGACTGGGGCTGAGGCCAGGCTCCGGCGGGGCTCCGGCTCGGCTCCGGCGCGGGGCGGGGCTGGACGGCGTCCGCCCCTCATCCCCCTCCCGACTCGGGAAAACCTCCCCCCGCCTTAACCCTGCACCTGCCGTGGCCGGAGCAGGCCGCGCAGACCCATGGTCACACGCAAACGGGTGAAAAGACACGGACATGTGGACACGAGGCCTGCCCAGGACCTAGGGTCCACCTCGGGCCGGGGGGAGAAATGAGGCAGCGGTAAGCAGCACAACACGTGTGCGGTGGGGGCCGTTCTGAGCGGGACCCAGCCTGGGAGCACCGGTGGGGGGTGGGCCAGCACAACCTGGGGGCTTGAGCTGCAGCCGCCGGCCCACCACCTACTGAGCTCGGAGGAGCCCAAAAACAGGCTTTGCGGCGGCGCCCCCTGGAGGCCACTTGGGGCATGGCCTGGGCCTCTGGTGGGGATGGTGCCTGGGTGGCCATTCCCCAGGCACACAGCAGGGCACAGAATAGGTCCTATGGTACACACTGAGGCTAGAGAGAGGGAGTGGAGGAGCAGACAGTGCCTGCCTCAGGGCTTGACAGGACCTTCCACAGGCCTGGGTGGGAGGAGTTTTTGGGTGGAGAGGGTAGCTCTGAGCGTAGGGTGAGCTTGAAGAGTTAGAGGCCAGGGAAACTCCCAGGCAAGTCACTTTGGCCTCATCCCATAGGTCCTGAGGCCTGGGCTACTCTGGGGTCCAAGGCACTTTGTGACTGTCCATCTTCATGGTCCCAGACCTGCCTCTAGCAAACTCTGGGGTCAGGCGAGAGCAACCTGGTGTGCCAAAGGCCTACCTACCTCAGACAGAGAGCCTTACCCAGCCTATCTTCTGAGCATTCAGAGTACTGGCCAAGTCTGTGAGCTGGGGGCCTGTTCATATAGGTCAGTGGTGGCCTATGAGACCTTGTGGTCACCTTGTGGTTGTCTGTGCTTGCTACTATCTTGTCCCTCTTTCACGGACAGTGTCTGTCTCATTTTCCCCAGAAGCACACCTGGAGACAAAGATACAAGTGCATATAGTTAATGTGGGAAGTGAGGCCAGGAAGCACCAGTAGAGTACTGGCAAAGAGATAGGAAAGTAGCCTTTATATAAAGAGTGTTTCATCAAGGAAGTTACCACTGTGGGCAACTGAGACCAAATCCTGCTGGGGACTCTGAAAGCCAGTATAGAACATGGGCCTCACATTATTGTCCCTCCTACCAGAGCAAGTGTTGATGAGGTACTCATTTTCAAATCTCCATCAGTCATGGATTGAGAGCTGCTCGGGGGCATTAATTCCCTAGCCTGCCTGACTTATAGCCTGCCAAGAGTGTGGGCAGAGCCTTCTCCATGACTAGAGAGAGAGTCTTCAGCCCGTTTTAGGGCCTGGCAATTGGAGTTGGAAGTCACCAAGGAAGGAACACCATATAGCTAAAACTAGGGGGTCCTTGTGAAACTTGTCTCAACTGAAATCTTACTAGCGTCTTCAAAGTTTCACTCCTCATGACCTTGACTTCCTCCTACTGCTTATCCTGCCTCTCAGAATCTTTTACAAGCCCTGCTTCCTTTCCCTTCCCAGGAAGTAGCTCCTCAAGATCTGCCCCTGGCTTTTCTCCTTGGCTCACAGACTCCCTCCTGGAGTGATCCCTCCTAGGCCACTGGTCTCACTCATATCTAGATCTCCACCAGACCTCTCTGCTCAGGTAGATAGGGTTGCCGGTCCCATCACTCAGGGCAATAAAAGATGCCAAATGGAGAACAAGGGCTGAATCCTTGGATGACCCAGTGGTCTCTCCCAACCTCATCCTATCGGATCTCAGTTATACCTATAAAGTCAGTATCCACCAAAGTCCAGGTCAAGTCAGACTTTGCTCTGATTAATACTCCCAGAGAGTTCCATCTGGGTCATACTGGGCACCAAGAGGCAGAAGGATCAGCCTCCACTCAGGGAGCTAGGTACCCCATGACCCTTACTCCTAACCCCTACCATGATCCCAGTTCTGATGTCTGAAAGGGACACAGCTTGGGAATGGACCTACCCTTCCTAGTCCTCCATTTTGCTCTGACCTCTGGGCTGGACATCATCAGAGAGAGCTCCCCTTCCTAGGACACACCTAGGCCCATGCCATCACTGGAGGCTGAGCTCTGCGTCTTCATGGAAGTGGCTTCTGCTTATGCAGCCCTAGCCCCACCTACACAGAGGCAGCTTCTCCAGCTGGCTTTGGAGAAGCTGTGGAAGACAAGTGGGGCAGAAGGTGAGGCTGGATTGGTCCTGAGAGTGAATAGCTAATACTCAACAATGGATAGGGCAGAGACAGGGCTCACACACAATTAAGGACTGGGAACACTCAGGTGGGACTTCCTGATTGCATCTCTTGAGGCCTGGCCCTTGGGATCCCACCCTTCCCTTCTCTCTACCAGGATGAGGGGCTAGAAGCACTGACCCCAGAGGAGCAGGAGAGTTTGCATTTCCTACTGGACAGCTTGGCTACGCTTGAAGGTGCTGAGGACACCACCATCAGTGCTAAGGCCCTGGGAAGTTCAGGGACACCAGGTGAGGCCTGTGGTGGGGTGGGTGTTTTTCTTTGCTGGTGCCCAGACCCCTCTGTATAGGCAGGGAGATGTAGAGCAGCTGGAGAATCCTGAATTCATATTGGGAGGGAGAAGGGCTATTAACCAGTCCCCAAATGAAGCACCCAGCCACCCTCTTGTGATTGCCCATCAACTTCCACCTGGCCCCAGCTACCAAATTTGGCACCATTGTACATGTCAGGGCCCAAGAGTTGTGGCAGTATTTCTGCCTCCTAGCGCAGGCTCTGATTCAAGTGCAAATGCCCCCACCATCTCATTCATGAAACCAGGGCTTCCATGCTGGCTTCTTGGATGTGGGGACCCCCTGACCAAGAGGGGCCTTTGGTCAGAGCAGTAGAGACCATTCTGACCCCTGGGACTCCTAGGGTTAATTTTGACCTTTGTCCTCTCATCTGGTGCTGCTTGGGCAGTAGGCCCTGTAACTACCGCCCTTCTGCTGGCCCCAGGGTACAGGTGGAAAGACTGAGGTCCCAGTCTCCTAGGCAAAAGGACAGGGATTCAGGGCAGGCTTAAGACTGGAGGCAGGACTTCTTGCCATTTAGGGGGCTGAGGCTGGGCTGGGGTCCTCCCACCACACCCATGCACCTGTTCCTAGGCAAGTACGCTTAGGCCCACACTGGTATGCTGGGACTCTCAGATTGGACACGCCCAACTTTGGGCTTGTGTGCAGCACATGTGTGCACACGAGCCTTTCATGCCACATGCAGTGGGCCCCATTCTCAGTAAGAGAGGAAGGCCTGCTGCCCTCTGAGGAGGTACTCCTGCTACAAAAACAATAGGGGCTCCCCCGCCATCCTCCCAGGCAGCAGGCACTCCTCTTTCACCCTCTGGTCAGGCATCTGGGACAGAGGCAGGCCTTGTCAGTGGCTGTAGGAGGACCAGAGGGTGGAGGATGGCTTGGACCTTGCCGAGAGTCGCTCCCAGATGTGGCTGCACCACCAGGCTCCTCAGAGAGGGGGTCAGTTGGGCCCCTAAACCAGTCCTAGCCGGGCTCCAGTGCAGTTGGTGCCTAGGGCCGCGTCTGAGAGGGCCTCTGCTCCTCAGACTCCTGCACAGGCCCGGATGGGTTTAGAGCAGTCCCCGCGGCCACCTCCTCCAGGAAGCCTTCCCTGGTACCCATCTACCCCGCCCTCAGACTTTGGGGGAAACGGGGTCTCGGGGGGTCAAAGGTCACTAGGGCGGGCTAGGTCCCGGAAGCGGAAGCGCAGCGCACTTCCGGTGCTCAGCGGGCGGCCATGTTGGAGCAGCGGAGGCGGCGCAGAGGCGCGTCCTGGGTCCCCGCGGCGGCGCCGGTAGGTTGGGGCCGTGGGCCTAGCCGCACCGCGGGGGGGCCGTCCGCGAGGCGACAGGGCGGATGGGCCGAGCGGCTGGCTCTTCCCGGACCCGCGCCCTCCGCCGGCTCGGCTGAGACCCCCCCTACCCCACCCCCACCCCGTGCCCAGCGACCCCACCCTGGGGCTGCGCGACCCAGTCGGGCTCGCCCTGACCGCTCCGCGCTTTTCGCTGTCTCCAAGACCGCTGCTTCTACCCGCGGCTCAGGCCCCAGGGATGCGGCCTCCCAGCCGAGGGCCCTGATCTGCCCCCACACCAGTCCGTTTGGATGGGGCCTTTCCCGTCCCCCATCTTTCATCAACTTCCCCTGCCGGCCTCGGGGGCACGTGTGAAGGGAAGTCGGGGGCCAGGCTGCAGCCTCTGTTTCCGGAGCCTCTTGGAAAGCCCAGAAGACTCCCTCTCAAGGGCCCAGACCGACCTGGGCGGAAGAACCCCCAGCTCACCCCCAGTATCTGTGCCTGAGGGTAAACAGGCCCCTCTCTGTTCTACAATTCACAACCCTGGGGACTGCATCCCCTGGGAAAAAATGAAAGAAAAGAACTAAAGTCATGTGCAAGGATTGTGCTCGGAGAATGGCCTCTGGAGAGAGGAAGTGCTGGAGACACCTGAGGATCCAAGAATGTTTCCAAACAAAGAGCTCCAGGGGATTTTGAAAACTTCCTCTGGTCCATTAGGGCGGTAGGAATAAGCTGCCTCCTGGCCCCAGGGACCTGCCTGATCCCAGTTGATCTTTTAATAATCCCGTGCAGCTGGGGAGCTGCCTCCTGGAGCCCTCAGTGCTGGGTTGGGCATTAGATATTAGTCAAGATAATATCTACAGCTTTTTCAGAGAAGCATGGGACAACTTCGGTGTTCCCAGACGGCTCCATCTGAGCTGTGCCAAGGTCTGGGGCCCTCCAAACCCTAATTAGGACAAATCAAATCTCTAGTGTCCACCTTATTAACCACCCACTGTCAGACCCTGGCCTCTTGGTCTGACTGCCTGGCCCCTAGCCTGCCTGATTGCTTAGAGATGTGTCATTAGTACCTGCTACTCATCATCTTTTTAGTTTCTCTTGGGGAGTGTGGTTCTTTCCCTGGGGTTGGTCTCCGTCACTGTGGTGCTAGGAATCAGACCTGAGTGGCCTGTCTGGGGACTCTGAAAGCAAAACTTCTGGTGGGCAAGGAGGTTCATCCTTGGACACCTGAACAGCAGCAGCTGGAGTAACAGAGATGGACATTGGGTGTAAGTCTGGGCCCTTTGGCCACATTCAAGGCTTGTGTTGCCCTGCTTTCACCTGTTTTTCTGGCTAGATCTCCCAGCCCTGACTGCAGATTCCAGTCACACCAAGTGTGCCTTACTCTTTCTCACTTCAGAGCCATTGTATAAATTATGCCCCTTTTTGCTCCATTTACAGCGGGTCCTTTCCTTTTGATCACTCATGTCCCAGTTAAGTGTTGCCTCCCCCAGGAATCCTTGCCTGACTCATTGGCGAGCTGAGCTGGGTGCCAGTCTGCACACCCAAGAACCTTGATGGTGCCTCTGTCTTGCCTTCTGCCCACGGCTCCTTGAGGGCCAAGGTATTCACCTGTGTTCCCAGGGTTGAATCTAATACTAGGTTTCTGGCCTAGAATTCAGAATTGAATTAGAATGGGCCAAATCTTTCTAGGGACCCAACAGCAGGTTAGATGGCTCTGATGAACTTCTGGTCACGTATCCTGAAGAAGCAGCTTCTGACCCATGTGCGTCCCTCCCCCACCCCCCAACCCCTGCCTTGCCACCATGGTAGGTCAGAGACCAGAGTGTTGCCCCAAGGAGTGGTCAGGTCTCTTCATGTCAATGGATGTTATGGAGAGTGCAGGCCTAGATGTTCTACTACCTATCCTAGCCCCTTATCTTGGTGCTGTTCTTACTGACTCTTTTTCCTCTTGCTTCGGAGGTGCCAAGCGCTGGTTTGTGGATACCCAGGCAGATCTGCAGTGCCTAATGCCATGAGCGTGGTGGTGCAGCATGTGGAGGAGAAAGCTGTGCACTCCTGGTCGAGGATCTCCACGGCAGGGAAAAAGGCCCTGGAGGAGGCGCTGCTTGTCTTTAACCCCATGAGCCAGGATCTCAGTGCCACAGAGGCCCAGCTTGTGGCCTTCCTGCAGGGTCTGCGGGATGATGGCTTCCAACCTACCATCCTGCGCAGTGGTGATGTTTATGGCTATAGTTCATGTACAGCCAACCCCCCAAGCCAGACAAAGCTACAAGCTCGTGCCCCCATCCCAGCTACCACATCTCTTCCAACCAGTGCTCCCCGAACTGCCACGCGGTTGCCTGCAGGCCGGGCCACGCTGCTCCCCATGCCACTGCCTGGCAGGCTGGCCAAATCATCCACACCAGCCCTTGCCAAGCATGCTACCACCAACCTGCTACTGAGCTCTCTGAAGCAGTCAAGTGCCAGCCGTGCCCGGGGTGCAGCAGTGGGTTTCCCCACCCACCTCTATCCAGGTGTCTACCCTGCCATGCGGCTCTCCGTCGTCCTTGAGGCCCTGGTTCCACTCAAAACTCCCATGCCCTGCTTGAGTGCCAAGCACAAGGCACAGTCACTGCAGCTCTCACTTGTAGACTCTCCCCTGAAGCTGCGGAAAGATTCAGGGAAGGGGCTGGGGAACCCCCGGCCCAAAGCTCCCAGAAAAGGCACAAACAAGGGCCCCAAGTGTCTGACAGGCAAAGGCTCCAGGGCCAGACCCCAACAAGGCACTGGGCCCCAGAGCAAGACCTACAAAGCCACTGGGTCCCTCAGTAGCCTGCGAATGAAAGGTAACTCTACCCTGGGCACTAAAACAGCCCAGGCCAAGGCAGCTCGAACACTGGCCAAAGCTGCTCGTGCCCAGGCCAAGGTGGCTCAAACACAGGCCAAGACTGCCAAGCCCCGGGCAAAAGCCAAGGCAACACAGATCAAGGCCAAAGCCAAGGCAGCACAAATCAGGGCCAAGGCTAAGGTGGCACGGATCAAGGCCAAAGCCAAGGCAGTGCGGGCGAGGGCCAAGGCAGTGCGGGGAAAGGCCAAAGCCAAGACAGTGCGGGCCAAGGCGGCTCGGACCCAGCCCAGGGGCAGGGGCAGGCCAAAAGGGTCTGTACAGGCCAGGACTGCAAGGAGGGTCCAGAAAGGCCGCCCTGAGACTGGGGGGCAGAAGAGGAAAAGGGCTGAGGAGGCGAAGGATCTTCCTCCCTGGAAGAGAACACGGCTTGGGCCCCGATCCCCTAAGGCATGGCTAGGGCCTGGAACAGCAAAGCTGCTGAAATTCCGGGTCATCAAGGTGGACAGGCGGTTCTCGGACGATGAGGTGCGGCAGCGGGCTCAACGGATCCTCCACGTGAACCTATCCCCTGTAATACGGCTCCAGCCATTGCTGCCATGCTCAGCACCCTGATTCCTTCACATAGCAATGATTGGGGAACCTGAGCCCAACTGTCTGTGTGGCCAGTGGCACAGTGTGCAATGCCCATGGACTCCACAACCCCGAGGACTCCAGGTGCCTCTCCAGGGCCCTGAGAGCCACCGGCCTCCTTTCAGAGACTGGAGGATGTGGGGTGGGGGTGGGGGGGCGGGAGGGGATGTTCTCATGGCGCGATGCACTGTGACTTATTACTCTTCAAGTTGTATGTCCACTGTTCCATCTATCACGTTTTATACCTTTCCACCTTTCAGTCTCCCGGCCCACCCTCTGTGGTCTTTTTTTCTATTTGTGACTGCGATAGGCCAGCTTGAGCATATAGGAAAAGTGGCCCCAGGAACAGGGCTGCCAGAGAGGGTCCTGGTAGTCTGGGGCAGGTCATTGATGTGAGCGATGGGATGATGTGGGAAGGGGCAGCTCCCAAGCCTCTTGAGATTCTGGCCTCTGTGGATGTGGAGAGGCAGCCCCTGAGGGCAGGAGCAGAGCCACTCTGAGGTGGGACGCCTCCCTTGCAGCTGCCCTGATTTGTTACCCAGATAGGCCCCATGCAGAAGAGAAAAGGTGGCTCTATAGGGAAGCTTGCAGCCAGCATTTAGGTGAGAGAAGGGGAGTTTTCTGGAACTGCTCCCTAGGGGCAGAGCAGACAGCCTGGCTGTGTCTCCTAGCCTGCTCTAGCTGAAACCTTGGGGCTTTGCCTGGGCTTGCATGAAGCAGGGCCAGGCCTAAACTGGCTGAAGTACTCTGCCTCTCCTCCTTTTAAGAGAGTGACTAACGTCTACTTCCCCAATTGATGGCAAGGGCTTAGGAGTTGAGTTGGGGGCCAGGGCTCTTGGTTGTAGGGCCACAGAATCTGCCCTCAGTGACCAGAGAATTTTCTCTTTGCGTGGATGGGGTACTCTGTACCTGAGCCAGGAGAGTTTTAATGACTTCCTCGCTCCATCAGCAGTGTTTTCTGCCTGGGTTCCAAGTGCTCTGGCTATTCCCAGTCTAGCTTTATCATACCTCCCAACAGGGCCTGTATGTTTCAGACATTATCTGCTCTTCTGCTTTGGAGAGGGGGCTGGGCCCTGAACCCTGAACAAAACTAGTTCTCTTCCATCTACCAGTTCTTCACCCACTGCCCAGCCAGAGTGGCAGTGGCTGGGGCTGGCAGGGAGGGGGACACATTCCCCAGAGGCTCCTGGAGACGAACAGCCTTTCAGGGCTAGGGGTAGGAACCTCATTGGAATGAGTATCAGATCATTTCTGTTTCTGTGGGTTAGTCTGAACTCTGACCCTGCTGGCATCAGCTGCATTGAATGGTGGACCTGTAGAAGCTCTGTGTGCTTCTTGGTGCCTCCCTCCCTCCCCACCTTTCTTCTGCATCTGGTGGCTGCTATTAATATCTTTCCCTTGGGGGCTGCCTCCCTTGGTTCCCCAGGCTCTGGGGACCCCCTCACTCCCAGCTGTACTGTAGTCCCACAACCGTGCATGCTCATTGCGTCTGGCGGTAGTGCTTCCATCTACCATGTGAGTATGGAGAATGACCTGAGGGCTTCACTCAACTCAAGGGCGGCCCAACCTGTGGCTCACTCTGCATTCTCTCTCTCAGGCCTGATTCCATCTCCCACCGCCCAGGACCCCCAGCCAGGCTAGGCCTCTCCTTTCTGTTCTGCTGCTGCTGCCACCGATGGGTGAGGGGTTTGCTCTTTCTCTGAGAGCCAGCCAGAGGGAGAGAAGAAATCTCCAGGCCTCCCTGTAGGGTGGCGTGAGGTGGGGGTACCCCTAGGATCTCTACACAGACTGTCCCTCCCAGTCCAGGCTCCCAGAGCAATTGCCCAGGAAGTTCTCCCACCAGGCTGCTCAAGTGGCAGCTGCTACCCACTCACCAGCAACCTTATTGCTGGCCATGGCCAGAGCCTTTGAACCTCGTCCACCTGTGGCCTCCATGGCCCTGAGCCCTACTGCATTGTCAGTCACCTACAGGTGGGGAGGAGGGTGGGTGCTCCGGAGATGGTATCTTTGGGTTTTTCTGGGCAGGTTTGATCCTGTGGGGTTTGCTGGCGACTAGAGGGAGAGGCCTGTCCTCTGAATTCTTGGAATGGGGGGCCGCCCATTTACCCCCTGCCTACTCAGTTTCCTTGGGACCTCCCCCAAGACCCTGAAAATTGCTGCTTCTGTGGCTCTCGGGACCGGGAAGGCTATGGCATTGACAATGTGATCTGGGGCGGGCGCAGTCACGACAGCAACAAGACCTGGTGGCAGAGAGTGGTGAGGGTGCTGGTGTGCCCATGTGTGCAGGTCTGGGGTCAGGGCCTGGTCACTCTGACCAGCCATTATGGTTATAGGTATTGAGAATCACCATCCAGCTGGACCTAGAAGGTGCCTTCTACTTTACCCACCTCATTGTGACTTTCAAGGTGACCCAGTACCCCAGCCTGAAGGATTGCTCTGTGCCTCCCAACCTGATTCCTACCAGTGATGCTTGCCCCTGGTGACCCAAGAACCCCCTCCTGTCCCCAGACATTCCGCCCAGCAGCTCTGCTCCTCAAACACTCAGTAGACCATGGCCACTCCTGGCATGTGTACTGATATTTTGCCCACAACTGCCCAGGCCTCTTTCCTGGGATCCCTCCTGCCAGTGGCCACAGAGTCAGTGACCTCATCGGTGACCAGTGTTACTCGGAGGTCAAGCCTTCCACTGAGGGTGAGGTCAGGCCCAGAGGAAGGGAGGTTGGGCCTTAGAGTGAAGACAGAAGTTCAGGCTTGCTTCTTCCTCTCAGGTAGTTTTCAAAGTTCTGGACCCAGCCATTCTGGTGGAGGACCCAAACAACACCAAGATTCAGGGTAATCATCCCCACTGCCAGTCCTGTATTCCTTGCATGTCAGGACAGCCAGATACTCACTTGGGCGGAGTGAGGGTGTTGGAGAGGTGAGGTCCTGCCTGAACATGTGCACTGGTGGGGCAGGGTAGCAGGCAAACCAGTTCAGTCCCCCAGCATGTTTCCCCAACTCTTGTCCTGCCATGATCCTCTATTGTGGTCCCTGTTAAGGCCTCCCATTCGTGTCCCATTGCTGGTCCCTATACTTGTGCCCAGTGTATAAGGGCTGGTATGGGTAGCAGTTTCCATGTCTGTCCCCTATCTTTGCCACATCGCTGAAGTCCTTTGTGGGGCCCCACTATAGTCCCCATCACTGCTATCCATGCCAGCCTTCATAACTGTCCTCTGTCTGCTCCTATCACTGTACCTTATAACTCTCCTTTTTATGAGCCTCCATCACCATTCCCCATCACTGTCCCTATCATGGTCGCCCTGTCATTGCTCTCCTGGTTGATTCATCACCCTGGCCTTAGTTGATGTCCTACCTCCCTACAGCTGCCTCTAGGTGGCGCCACGGCTTCTCTGGGTGTGACCTCTTGTAAAGCAGAAGGCTTGTTAAAAGGCTAGAGAACGCTTAACCATAACCCCACAGGGCAGCCCAGAGCCAGGCCAGGCAAGTACCAAAACAGGAGGACAAACATCAAACTAGCTTTTTCTCTACGCTCTACACCCACCTTGCCTGCAGTTATTACCAACTACTCACCCCGAGCCCTCACTCTAGGTCCCCAAGCAGCTGTTGCTCGTTCCTCTGATCAGGAGAAAGGGGAGACCTGGCAAAGGAGAGGTATAGGAGGTAACCTTGGCTTGGTAACTGACTTAAGCTGTAGAGCAGAAGGAGGAGCTATGGACCCATCTCTCCATTCATGTGTACATTTAACAAGTTCCCATTGAGCCCCACTGTGGGCCAGGCATCTTCTGAGCAATGCTCAGGGGGAAGAAGATAGACAAGGTATCTGTCTTCTTGGAGCTGACATGAGCTGACATAAAAGTGAGAAAGACAGTCAATAAATAAGCAAACTAATAGCTTATGTGGTTTGGCTGGGTGATAAACTGATTTCTAGTTTGGGTGATGGGTTGGGGAATGGACTTCTTTACTGCATTGGGGAAGCAGGTTTCAAATATCTAGAGATGCTAGAATGGGGTGTCCAGGAGGCAGTGGGATGTGCAGGTGCAGCTCAAGAGCGATATCAGGGCTGGAGCAGTGCAGAGGCGGAGGAGCTGTGGTCATCCTAACATGGTATGCCCAGGGGAGCAGGGATGAGGAAGTCTCACAGCATGGGTGCTAGAGGAGGTGGCTGCAATGATGCAGAGAGGGAAGGGACACCCCTACCCCCCATTCCTTCCCCTCCATCTCAAACATAGAGGGATGACGACCAAGGCGCCTGAGGTCTCACAATCTGTATCTCCAGAGCCCCTGCAGGTGACTAACCTCCATGTGAATTTCTCCAAACTGCACACAATGGCTGATAGACCCCTGGTGGGCGTCAAGGGATACCCCTCCTACTACTGTGCCCTGTCTGAGATCGTGGCCCAAAGCAGCTGCCTGTGCCATGGCCATGCTTCTGAGTGCAGGCCTGCACACGGGGCCCCAGCCAATGTGGAAGGGATGGTGAGCACCACAGGAAGGGCATCTGTAGCTAGTGGGATAGACAAGCTCAGGGACTGAGGCAGACTCTTCTTGTCCTCCTCTCTGCCAGGTGCATGGTCTTTGAGTCTGCCACCACCACACAGCTGGTACCCACTGTGAGTGCTACCAGGACCTGCACCAGGATCACCCATGGCACACAGACCCTGGGCACCCCCATGCCTGCCAGGGTAGGTGCCATACCCTACTCTGGCAATACTTGCTATGGGTCAACCCGCTCCATATCCACCTTTCTTGTTCTGCCTCAGAATGCAAGTGCCATGGGCATGCCCGCAGTTGTCACTTTGAAATGGCCCTGTATCTGGCTTTTGGCAATGTGAGTGGAGGCAGCGTGACACGTGTCAGCACAACACAACTGGGTGCACCACTGTGAGCTCTGCCAGCCCTTCTATTGAGGTCCCCAGGAGGATCCCCCTTCCCTTCACTCCTGCAAATGTGAGCCCTCCAACCCCCAATCCCAACTCTGACCCCAGTCCTTCAGCTCCATGGTGACCTCTGACCTCACTCTGTCCACATTTTTTTTTTTTTTTTTTGGTGAGGAAGATTGTCCCTGAGCTAACATCTGTTGCCAATCTTCCTCTTTTTGCTTGAGGAAGATTGTCTCTGAGCAACATCTCTGTAATCTTCCTCTCTTCTGTA